TAGAATGAAATCCAAAGTCCTTCCCAAGTTCCGTGCACCTCTCAGATCTCTTCTGTCCCCACCCTGGCCTCCTCCCCAGGCCCAGCCACACCGTCTCCCTCCTGCTCCTCTAACAAGCCTATGCCCTGCTACTGCCTCGGCCTGAATGCTCTTCTCCTAGCTCCCTACCTGGCCAGCGCCCCTTTGAGATCTCAGTGTTAAAGTCACCTCTTACGGGGACCTCCCCTGACTGCCCCACACAGGACTACCTGCTCCTGGAGGCTGCCATTATCATACTACTTGGTTTAATTTTCCCCACAATGCTTTGCGCCATATGAGGTGGCCACATTCATTTATTCATTTACATATATTGTGTGTCTCCTCAAGTAAGAAAGAAAAGAATTAAAAAGTTACAGCAGCTTTCCCTGACTATCCAGGCGAGGTCAGATCACTGTATTTTGTTACACTTTTCTACCTCATCTTGTAATTTTTCTTTTGCAACCCAAATTATGCTTGTAATTTTTTTCTAATATCTGTTTTTCTCAAGAAGTTCTATGGGGTAGGAGCCACTGTGTGCTTTTTAGCAGTCAGTGTATAGCCAGTGCCTGGCATACAGAAAACACTCAATCACTAAGGAAGTCTCCTCTGTCTACGTCAGTACATACAGATCTACAGCAATCCCTTAAAACGCTGCATTATATTCCCAGTAGCCACACCATGGTTTGCTTAGCCATCTCCCTATTGACAGACATTTAGGTTGTCTGTTAACATCTGCCATTACAAACACTGGGCTTTTATCACAGGCTTGAGCCTTCTCCACCCTGGTCTGGTCTGGACCTACCCCTTGTGAATAAGATTTTTCATTTATGCCCTGGCTGGTTTGGCTCAATGGATAGAGCATCAGCCTATAGACTGAAGGGTCCTGGGTTCGATTCCGGCCAAGGGCACATGCCTGGGTTGCGGGCTTGATGATCCCCAGTGGTGTGCAGGAGGCAGCCACTCAATGATTCTCTCTTATCATTGATGTTTCTGTCTCTTTCTCCCTCTCCTTTCCTCTCTAAAATCAATAAAATATATTTTTTTAAAAAGATTTTTCATTTACACTGCTTTAAAGGTACAAAAATACCAAAAGTGTCCTTAGGAGCATTTTATCACAAATTTATAAATTTCCTTCAAAATTTTGGATCCCACTAAGATGATTTCTTTTGTTTGTTTTGGAGTTTTGGGCTTTTGGTGTTTTGTTGTTGTTTTTTTGAGATATAATAGTCATATAACTTTACATTAGTTTCAGGCCTACAACATAACGATTCAGTATTTGTACATATTGCAAAATGACCACAATAAGTCTAGTTAACATCCATCACCACACAGAGTTACAAATTTTCTTCTTGTAAAGAGAACTGTTAAGACCTAAACAGCAACTTTCAAATATGCATTACAGTATTATTAACTACTAGTGGCCTGGTGCACGAAATTCGTGCACAGGGGGAGGAGGGAGTGTCCCTCAGCCCTGCCTGCACCCTCTCCAATCTGGGACCCCTTAGGGGATGTCCGACTGCCGGTTTAGGCCCGATTCCTGTGGGCTTGGGCCTAAACCGGCAGTTGGACATCCCTCTCGCAATACGGGACTGCTGGCTCCTAACCACTCACCTGCCTAAGCCTGATCACCCCCAACTGCCCCCACCCTGCTGGCCTGCTCACCCCAACTGCCCCCCCTCGCTGGCCTGCTCGCCCCCAAATGCCACCCCTGCTGGCCTGATTGCCCCCAACTGCCCCCCCACCGGCCTGCTTGCTCCCAACTACCCCCCCAAGCCTGCCTGCTCTCCCCCAATTGCCCCCCGCTGCACTGGCCCTGAGCAGCTGGAGGGACTGGGGGACTCCAGAGGCAGGTGCATGGAGCAGCCAGGCCCACCTGACGGGGCTGAAGAGACTGAGTGCTTCCATCTTTGAGGGCGGGGCAGTCAATTAGCATATTCCCTCTTTATTAGATAGGATTCACTCAGCAAATATCTAAGTGCCTAATATGGTCTAAGCCAGCGGTTCTCAACCTGTGGATCACGATCATCAGAAAACACATATAGCATATCAGATATTTATATTACGATTCATAACAGTAGCAAAATTACAGTTATGAAGTAGCAACGAAAATAATTTTATGGTTGGGGGTCACCACAACATGAGGAACTGTATTAAAGGGTCGCAGCATTAGGAAGGTTGAGAACCACTGGAATAGCAGAGAACAAAATGAAGATCCATTCCTCTAACAGTTCACAGCTTAGTAAAGGTGACAAATCTATAACAAATAATTTCAACTTGAATGTGCTCGTAACAGAGATGTGTACTATGTAAACTGGTAGCAAAACAAGTGAAGAGTCAGCTTCCTTTGAGTAGGTAAGTCAGGCATCGCAGAAGAGACACCTCACCTGGGACTGGAGGATCCACAGGAGTTTGGCAAGCAAAGGGGTCACTCATGCAAAGTAGGGGCAACAAGCTCACAAGTCAAAGTTCAATGAAAGGCAAGGAGCTAGAAAGCAAGAGGCTAAACCAGGGGTGGGCAAACTTTTTGACTCGAGGGCCACAATGGGTTCTTAAACTGGACCGGAGGGCCGGAACAAAAGCATGGATGGAGTGTTTGTGTGAACTAATATAAATTCAAAGTAAACATCATTACATAAAAGGGTACGGGTTTTTTTTTTTTAGTTCTATTCATTTCAAACCGGCCGGATCCAGCCCGCAGGCCGTAGTTTGCCCACGGCTGGGCTAAAGGCACGTGCAGGAAAGGGGGAGCAAGAAAGGAGGCCGACGGGGAAGTGCTCATCATGGAGGGCCTTGTGTGCCATCCCAGTAACTGTGAACTGTATACCCTAGGGCCGTGGTTGGCAAACCGTGGCTCGTGAGCCACATGCGGCTCTTTGGCCCCTTGAGTGTGGCTCTTCCACAAAATATCGACTTCTGCGCATGGGCCACAAAGTTTCAATCGTGCTCGCCCGCACGTGGTATTTTGTGGAAGAGCCACACTCAAGGGGCCAAAGAGCTGCATGTGGCTCGCGAGCCACAGTTTGCCGACCACTGCCCTAGGGAATGGGGAGTCTAGAGTTGTAAAGAGGTGGGTAACATCAACAGATTTGGGTTCTAGAAAATTCCTTCTCATGCCAGAGAAAATAATGCATTGGGGAATTGTCAGACCAGATGGTTAAAGACACTGCTACAAGAGTCCCAGCAGGAAATGCTGTCTTAAACTAAACAGGAATTGCTGACCAGCTGGGTCAGGGAGACATGGGAGAGGAAGGAATGCAGGCTAGCCCTGGTTCCTGGTATAGGTGACAATATGGTGGTAGATACCATTCATTATCTTGGGGAAATACGAGAAACCAGGAGAAAAGAGACCAAGTTCAGTTTTGGTCATAATGAGGCTGAGGGGCCTTTGTGATAACCAGGTCGAGACGGTCAGGAAACACCTAGGTTAGGCCCCAGCAGGTCTGAGATGGAACCGAAACTGGGGAATGGAAGCTCAGGCACTCAGACAGTGGTTCTCAACCTTCTGGCCCTTTAAATACAGCTCCTCATGTTGTGACCCAACCATAAAATTATTTTTGTTGCTACTTCATAACTGTAATGTTGCTACTGTTATGAATCGTCATGTAAATATCTGATATGCTGGATGGTCTTAGGTGACCCCTGTGAAAGGGTCATTCGACTGCCAAAGGGGTCTCGACCCACAGGTTGAGAACCGTTGCACTAGGAGAACTCATGTGTGTGCATGAAGTCACCCACGGAAAATGCATAGACTGAGGAGTGAATTAATTAAGGAGCGAGTCCCAGAGAATGGCATCAAAAAAGCAGGCGAAGCCAGTGGGGGAAAAAAAAAGAGGGAATGGATGACCATGAGTTTCGGTCACAGCAGCCGAAGTAAACTTTGAGGAGTCATTGCCAGATTTAGCACTAACAAGGCCATTAGAAACTTAAGCCAGAGAAGCGTCACTAAGCCTTTAGACAGGAAGTAAGAAAGCAGAATACGGAGGCTGGAAGTGAAGAGGCAGGAGTGGAAGCAAAGACACGAGGCTTTCACGCAGTTTGCTGATAGATAAGCGGAAGAACTGCGGAGAAGCACAGAATGGAGGGTGTGTTTTTGTTTTATTTCATTTTCTTAAGATGCATGATTCTAATACCGAGGAGAAGGAAGTGGAGAGGAAAAGGCTAAAATCACAGGAAAAAAATAGAAAAGCAAAAAGTCTTGTCATGAATAGGAGGGAATGAGATCTAAGGGAAAGATGGATGTGTTATCCTTCAGCACATTTCTCTAAACTGGAAACACCAGGCTGCATCGTGGACAGAAATACAGATCAATGTGTAGGGTGGGGCACGAGGGTGAAGAAATTGGCTGTTAGGCTGTCACCTGCAGTCCGTTATCCACAGATGTTTAAAAGGTTTGAAATTACGTGAGTTAAGTAGAACCCCGGCGCTCTCAAACAGATGACTGGATTAAAATCACCTGCAGGCTTTTAAAAAGGCAAACCCCGAGCCCTGGTCCTATTAACTCAGAATTCCTGGGGGCGAGGCTCCAGCGAGCGCGTCTCCCGCGTGGAAAAGCGCGGAGCCAGCAGGAATCCGCGGGCCATTGCGAGGTGGCCCTGGGACCCCCTGCGGACAGGCGGAAAGAGCTTGCTCTGCCTCTCGGGGGGCAAAGACTCAGATGGGGAGACGGGAGCAGCCACGTGCACACCACCGCATCCTCAGATGGAGCGCGCTGAGGTGGAGCCGAGAGCTTGAAGAATGCAACGAGGAACATGCAAACATTTAAAGCGTTTGTCCAGAATGATGCTTCACCTCAGGCTGTCAGGGTCAGTGTCTTACCCTACACTTCCTGTCGCATTACTAGTCTAGGGGCTCAGCAGCCCCAAAGAGACGACGGGGCGAAGGTGCAAGGGCCAGGGACGCCCCGAGTGCGCACCCGCCCCAGGACCGGGGACCCTGAGACACCAGGACCCCGGAGCCGTTCTCCGGCCTCGGCTGGCACTCACCATAGTCTCAGGAGCTCAGCACAAAGAAATCGGTAGCACTGCCACAGGAAGACACCAGCTCCGACACCGACGCCCAGTTACCCAGGCAACGGAGCCCCGCCCCCTGCAGGACGCCGCGTAGCGGCCGCGGCCCCTCTCCCTCCTCCCTATTGGCTGGGAGTAACCAAAGCTCCGCCCACCCAGTCGACGTTCGCAGCCCAGGACACCGTGGCCTGGGTCTTTCAGCGTCATCACTTCCGTTTCGTTGACAGGTGACCCGGAAGTTCAAGCCAGTATCCGGCTAGGGTCCAAATAGTCTCTAGTTTATTTTAAAATAAGCATCTGTCCAGTTTTCATTCACTGAAGCCTACATCGTCTGGTCTGCGTTAGTTGAGTTTAAACGCACGACAGGTATGTTTACCTGTTTGTTTGGAAACGTATTCCGGAAACGAAACCCTGAGTAATCGATCGGAAGTGACAGGAGGGAGCGGGAAGTCGCTGTCGCGAAGGCCGGCGGGCGGCTGGGAATGGAAGGGGCCTGACTGCGGAGAAGTTACCCCAGGACTTCGCGCCGAGCCCCCGGACCGGAGAGCCCGCTGGGGAGGAGTGAGAGTATCAGAGGTACGTCCAAGCACGGGCCGGTGGGGCCAGGGGGACGTTGACAGTGACGGAGTCTGGGCTGGAGTTTGGTGTCCACGCCTTCGGGTCTAAGGCTGGACCGGGTTGGAACTTCGGGTACGACCACCCGGGACGGCAGAGGTTGACAGGCGTGTGGCCTCCTTACGGGTCGCCTGTTACCCACTCCTTCCACCACACACCCCCCCCCTGCCGCCGTCCCTTCACGCGGATTTGCCCGCAGGCGCTTGCGGTGCTTGTCCCTCTCGCAGCATCTTCCCAGCGCGGTTGGCAAGCCGCTTGCGCCCTCGAAGGCACTTTGAGACCCGTTTTCGGGGCAGTAGAAGGAGGTGGTGTTTGCCGGGGAAGCGAGTCCCGGAGCCCCGGTGCCGAGTCCTCGGGGTGATGGCTGCTGTGGGAAACCAGCCGCCCTCCTGAGCAGTTCACCATCGATTATTAACATCGCGTTCCTACCGCCTCCCTCTGGTGTTCTGCAGTGACTCTTCTTCGATACTTTGCGGCCACGCACACATTTCTGAGAGTCCATGCTATGCCACTTTAATTTTATTTCTGAGGAAGTGCAAAGTGAGCCATCATGAATATTTGTGTTGTTTGTTAAACATCTAAATAGAAGCTCTGATATACAAAGTGAACACATTAGTGCCAATGTGTGCTGGCACTAATTACTTTAAATTTCCAGTTGTTATGTCAATGATGCAAGAGCCTCTGTAATAGCTTATGTGCTATTTCTGAACTAAAATTCAGGACACACATCCAGTAATTTAGAGTATCCTGGTGAGGACAGTGACAGAAATACCACCCCTGATTTTGTGTGTGTGTGTGTGTGTGTGTGTGTGTGTGAGAGAGAGAGAGAGAGAGAGAGAGAGAGAAAGAGAGAGAGATTTGGTAGCTTTAACAATACCACCTGTTAAAAAGGGGGTGTGAGGGATACTCCCTTTCTAAATGCTACTTACAGAAGTAAGTAGAATATAATTAAGTTTCAGGGTATTACTTAGTAAATGTGTTTATACAGTATTGTTTTAATTCTTTCATTTTATACATTTTTAGGTTATTCAGTAGAAGTCTTGGGGTGCATTTTCATTGATTAAAAATGACTACTCTTGAGAGTTTACAAACTAAAGGTAAGTCTTCTTTCGATGATAATTGTTTTTAAAACATGACGTTTATGATGATAGGGCAAAGGCATGTTTGAGCCAGCGGAGTAGATCTCATATAGGCCTGGGGATCATCTGTGTCTCGGACTGTAGCTGAGTCTTTCACTAATGATTTAGTGGCGAGGGGACAAAAATTAAGCAGTTTTAGGATGAGCTAGTTACTGGCTGTTAGCGTGAAATCCTCTAGGGTGTGTGTTAACATCAGTGAACTTCAGGAAGCACCAGTTCACCTTTTCTGTGCCAAGCACATCTCCGGAAGCTGAGGAGACAAAGGCTAGGAGGCAGCCCAGCCTGACGAGCTCCCAGCACTCTCGTCCGCAGGGAAAGCAGTGATTTGAAGACACGCTGGTGTTTGCGTTACTCTGAAAGCACTGAGGGGGGAGGAGGGGCAAGGTCAGGGATTTGCCCCAGGTCACACAGTCTGTGGCAGGAGGGAATGGAGTTATTTTGACTCAGCGGCTGGTGTTCTATCGCACCATCATGCTGACTTAAGGTGTCTGTCTTCATAGATTTGCACTTTTATGAGAAAAGGAGAAATGTTTAATAACAAACTACGAAGTCATATTCTTTTTGCCTCGGTATTCTAGGGCAGGGTTGAAAATTAGGGCCCTTGAGACTCCTGAGAACATTTGCAATCAGTTTGATAATAGGGAGCACTAACTGAATCCCACTTAAGCCAAGTGTTATCCCAAATAAAAAAGAATTCTGTTCTTCTCATTATTAGACCTATATTAAAAAAATTATTCAATGATTAGTTTGAATTTCATGTATAAAATTTTGGGGGGTTTTTTCCCTTCTTTTATAAGTACCTACATAATATGCTCAACTTTGTCTCATGGTCCAAACAGCTTAAAATATTTATTATCTGGCCCTTTACAGGAACAGTTTGCCAACCCCTATCATTTGTTCTTTCCCTGCCTTTCAGCATCCTTGGGGAAGACAATAAGAATGAGCCAGAAACCTCAGATATGTTTTAATCTTTGATAACTGATCACAGATGGAAATACTGTTGCTGCACAACTGAATTATTTGGTTAGTTCCCTCCAAAGAGTGGAGAAGGATAGGGGTGATGTTTTGCCTTATGTAAGCATTGCTCATAACTACGGAGCTGGTACCACACATCATGGTCCTCCCACTTGGGAGAAGGTAATTGCTCATGAATGTGTCCTGGCTTGTGCCCAGTGCATGTGTAATAAAGGTTTCTATGTGTGTCATGAGAAAAACAGAACTATGAAAGGTGAGCTTCCAGGTGAGGAAAGGTGAAGCCCTGACCCATGTGCCTGCTGGTGCGTGCCTGTGGGCTGGCATCGTCACCATTACAGAGAGGGAGCTGCCACATGGCACACGGTACAATTTGGCTCTCCTAATCCCTTGAGTAAGTAGGACAGTTTAAATGCAGCTAAGAGTAAACTGTGGTTGAACCAAGTTGATTGAATTTGATTGGAACTTGAACATATTTTGTGTGAAAGGAGATTTCTGTTAAGCTTCAGCGGGCCTGAATGTAAAGCTCTAGTTTCTTATTTTTAAAAAAATATATATATTATTGATTTCAGAGAGGAAGGGAGAGGTAGAAACATCAGTGATGAGAGAGGATCATTGACTGGCTGCCTCCTGCACACCCTCCACTGGGGTTCAAGCCCGCAACCTAGGCACGTGCCCCGACCAGAATCGAACCGTGAACTCCTGGTTCATAGGTCGGTGCTCAACCACTGAGCCACGCTAGCCAGGCTAGTTTCTTTAAAAAAATAATCTGTGGTTAATTCATGATTCTACATTACATCTTAAATGCCACTAATGTCTCAGTGATAATTAGATTTGCATTAGAGATCCTTAGGAAGAAGGGTTGAACTGAGATTTGAAGGGTGGGTAGGAACTAGCTGCAGGGGGGAGGGTGTTAGGAAGAATATTCCAAGCAGAGAAATGTCTGGAGAGGAAGGCAGACTTTTGCTGCTATTGAGACCCCTCCAAAAAGCAAGTCAGGCTGGAATCCAGAGTCTGGGGGTGAATGGCAGAAGTGGAGCCCAGCAGACAGGCAGGGCCAGGTCTCGGAGAGCTGGGCAGGCCATGCTAAGGATCTTGGTTTGTTCTGAGAGAAACGGAAGGCCATTCAGGGTTTGATGCAGATTGGCTCTGCGTGATTTTGAAAGCTCACTATAACTGTCATAAATTCTGTGGGCTCCTGTGGTCTGCCAGGTAGCGTCATTAGCAGAGACTAACTTTGGGTTGATGAGGCAGTAGTTGTGGTTTGTGGATGGCCTCCTGGGCCAGTTAATAGCTGACTCTGGAGTCAGATTTGGATTCAAATCCCAGTCTGACACAGATGATTTGGACAAGCTGTGCAACTTCTCAAAGCCCCTGTTTCTGTCTACAAAATGTGTATGTTGTGCTTACCTCATGAGACAGGTGTAAAAATTAAATGTCACGCATCTGAAGGACGTGGAGAAGCCCTTCACACATAGTAAGTTGAATAAAGGTTAATTATTACATTTGTGGGCTTTGCCTTCCATTTCTCCAATGTGTGCTGGACTTGTCAAATGGCAGGAAATCTAAGGTGTAGCTCAAAGGGATGCTACGCACGAGTTCAGGAGCTCCGTGTAGGTTAGGTGTCACCTGAGTTACCTCCTCAAGGTCTGCAGCACTTCCTGTTCTAGCACACCCTCCGTCTTCCTCAGCCCTAAACCACCTTCTGCCTGAGTCAGTGAGGGAGCCCTCTCTTGGAGAAAGGTGACTCTGACACTTTTCTTACTGCTCCACTGGCGGTAAGACCCCGGGCAGAAGAAACAAATCTGTTACTGACTGGAGCAGTGGCAGCGTACTGGTGAGCAGAGCTGCCTTCTCGCTTACATGAGGGAAACTAATTTATTTCCGTTGATCAAATTAGTTTGGTAAACGTGTCCAGTAGTGCACTAAGCGTTATGGAGGAAAGGGATGGGTGCTACTATTTATTGAATGCCTGCCATTTACTTTATACCTGAACTTGAACTTCGAGACACTGGAAGAGGCAGTATATGCAATGGGGAAGGCCCCAGTCTTTGTGAACAGACTACTTAGAATTCACTTCTGCCTCTTCACTTACTAGCTGTGTGGTGTGACTTAGGGCAAGTTACTGGACCGCCTTGTGCCTCATGTTCCTCATGTATAAAATAGAGCTAATCGTACTACTCACAGGGTTATGTAAGGATTACAAGAGTTCTATGTAAAGTATTTAGAATGGTATTTGGCACATGGTAAGTCTTTTGTAAGTGTTGGTTACCTGTTACTTAATATTTTCTCATTTAAAATTCAGATTTAATACTACCTAGATGTAAATATTATTAAATTA